GTCCTGTGCAGATGGAGACACAGAACTGGGGTCGTGGAGGAAATCGTCTGAGGTTCCTAGGTTGCTGGATGCTGGAATGGCCCCAACACAAGTACAGCGGGTGTAGGGCAGGAGATGTCTATTTAACTCTGCCTCTGGTGGTTATAAAATATAGGATGAGATCACCAATGAAGGGGCATAGATAGAAAAGATAGTGGATTGAGCCCTAGGACACACCAGTTTAGAGGCCCAGGAGATGGCAAGAAGCGGCCAAGGCGCTGAAGCACGTGGTCAGGGACACGGGAGGGGCACCAGGAGAGTGAGGCGCCCTGGAAGCCATCTGGAACTGCTTCAGAGAGGAGAACAGCTGTGACAAACGCCGCTGATGTGTCGCAAAGAAGAGTGAGAATTAATTTGGGGTGACATTGGTAGGCACAGTTACCATGATGTAGTGGGGACAAAAACCTGATAGGTATATGTAGTAAAAAAACCAGGAGAGATTTGGCATATCCATATGATAGGAAACTAATAAGCAATCAAAAAATAAGCAATTGATAACAACATGGGTAAATCTCAAAATAGTTATGCTGATACAGAAATAGAAAGCCAGATACAGAAGAATACATAGTGTATGATTCCATTTATATAAAATTCTAGAAATGTAAACTAACCTATAGTGACAGAAGGCAGAAGACTGGTTTCCTGAGGCAAGTGAGTACCATAGGGAAAGATTAAGACTGGCAAAAGGAAATTTAGGAATGATGAATATGTTTACTCTCTTGATGGTGATGTTGCAGAGGTATATATATCAAAATGTATTAATTTATACATTCCCCTTTCTTTTTTTTTTGAGTCATAGTCTCACTCTGTTGCCCAGGCTGGAGTGCAGTGGCACACTTCTCATGGCCACCGCAGCCTCAACCTGCTAGGCTCAGGTGATCCTTCCACCTTAGCTTCCAAGTAGCTGGAACTACAGGTGCGCACTATCACACCCGGCTTATTTTTTAAATTTATTGTAGAGATGAGGTCTTACCAAGTTGCCCAGGCTGGTCTCAAACCTGTAGGCTCAGAAAATCTTCTTACCTCAGCCTCCCAACATGCTGGTATAGCCACTATGCCTGGCCTATACACTTTCAATATGTGCAGTTTATTGTGTTTTTTATTTTTTTGTAGAAATGGGGTCTCACTATGTTGCCCAGGATGGTCCTGAACTCCTGGGATCAAGTGATTCTCCTGCCTCAACCTCCTAAAATGCTGGGATTACAGGCATGAGCTACCACATTCAGCCTACTGTGTATTAATTATACCTAAATAAAGTTTTTTTCTTTTTCTTTTCTTTTTTTTTTTGAGTTGGAGTCTCAGTCTGTAGCCCAGGCTGGAGTACAGTGGCACACTCACAGCCACTGCAGCCTCAACCTGCTGGACTCAGGCTAGTCTTCAGTTGCAGCCTTCCAAGTAGCTGGAACTACAGGCACACACCACCACATCCAGCTAATTTTTTTGATTGATTGTAGAGATGAGGTCTTACCAAGTTGCCCAGATTGAACTCGACCTGCTGGGCTCAGGCGATCCTTCCATCTCAGCCTTCCAAGTAGCTGAAACTACAGGCACACGCCACCACACCCAGTTAATTTTTTATTTATTGTAGAGACGAGGTTTCATCAAGTTGCCCAGGCTGGTCTCGAACTCCTGGACTCAGGCAATCCTCTTGCCTCAGCCTCCCAAAGTGCTGGGAATACAGGCTTGAACCATTGCGCCTGGCCTTTTTTTTTGAGTTGGAGTCTCACTCTGTCGCCCAGACTGGAGTGCAGTGGCACTCCCGGCCACTGCAGCCTCGACCTGCTGGGCTCCGGTGATCCTTCCGCCTCAGCCTTCCAAGTAGCTGGAACCACAGGCGTGCACTGCCACGCCCGGCTAATTTTTTTTTTATTTATTGTAGAGATGAGGTCTCGTCAAGTTGCCCAGGCGGGTCTCAAACCCTCAGGCTCAGGCAATCCACTCACCTCGTTCTCCCAAACTGCTGGGATTACAGGCTGACCCACCGAGCCTGGCCCTTTTTTATTTTTAAACAGAAGTGGTATTGGGATCTCACATTGTTGCCCAGGGTAGTCTCAAACCCCTGGCCTCAATCCTCCTGCCTCAGGCTCTTCAGTTGCTGGAATTACAGGCACGAGTCATGGTGCCCAGCTAACTAAAGCTTTAAAAAATAAAAACATAGCTGGGTGTAATGACACATGCCTGTAATCCCAGCACTTTGGGAGGCTGAGGAGAGAGGACTGTCTGAGGCTGTGGTGACCAAGAGTGTGCCACTGCACTCCAGCCTGAATGACGGAGTGAAACCCCGACACAAAAATAAATTTAAAAAATCATTACACATGGAAGCCCTATTCTGCCTTCCCTCATACTATTCCCCTTGTTCCCCTTGTGATTTCAACCCTGAATTTGTTGCTTATAATTCTTTTGTTTGTTTTTTGAGCTGGAGTCTCACTCTGTCGCCCTGACTGGAGTACAGTGGCACACTCACAGCTACTGCAGCCTCGACCTGCTGGGCTCAGGCGATCCTTCTGCCTCAGCCTTCCAAGCAACTGGAATTACAGGCATGTGCCACCATGCCCGGCTAATTTTTGATTTATTGTAGAGATGAGGTCTCACCAAGTTGCCCAGGATGGTCTCGAACCCCTAGACTCGAGCAATCCTCTCACCTCAGCCTCCCAAAGTGCTGGGATTACAGGCTTAGTCACTGCGCCCAGCCTATTGCTTACCATTCTTTTTTTTGAGTTGGAGTCTAACTCTGTCACCCAGGCTGGAGTGGAGTGGCATGCTCACAGCCGCCCCAGCGTCGACCTGCTGGGCTCCGGCAATCCTTCTGCCTCAGTCTTCCAAGAAGCCAGAAATACAGGTATGTGCTACCACATCTGGCTAATTTTTAAAAATTTATTGTAGAGATGATGTCTTGCCAAGGTGCCTCAGCTGGTCTCGAACCCTTGGGCTCAGGCAATCAATCACTCGCCTCTGCCTCCCAAAGTGCTGGGATTACAGGCTGAGCCACCGAGCCCAGCCGCTTATTATTCTTTTGCATGCTTTTTACTTTTAGTTCATATGTCTGTATCTGTAAATAACGTACAGGATTGTTTTGCATGTTTGTATCATTTTATAAATGGTATGCTTTCCACATCTTTTCGACCTGCTGGGCTCCAGCGATCCTTCCGCCTCAGCCTTCTGAGTAGCCAGAATTACAGGTGCACGCTACCACGCCCAGCTCATTTTTGATTTATTGTAGAGATGAGGTCTCGCCAAGTTGCCCAGGTGGGTCACAAACAACTTGCCTTTTTAACTTAATATTTTTAAGATTTACCTCTGTGGATTTAAATATCTGTAGCCCCAAAACGTCATTGTAACTCCAGTACTTTCATTGTGTGACGATAGCCCCAGGCTGGACCACAGCCTCCACCTGCTGGGCTCAGGCGATCCTTCCGCTTCAGCCTTCCACGTATCTGGAACTATGGGCATGTTCCACCATACCTGGCTAATTTTTTAATTTATTGTATAGACGAGGTCTTGCCAAGCCAATTTCCTTATTGTCCTGTTGGTAAACACTTGGGCTGCTTATAGTTTTTTCCTCTTATATATATCCTACAGCGAACCTTTTAATATCTGTGAGTCTAGGTAAGGAGGGGCTCTCCAGGGCGACTATACTGGGGTAGACTTTCTAGATATTAGGGTTTGTGCCATTGGCTTCAACAGGGTCTGAGTGTTTCATGGTACATTTTTAGAGGCTTATTTTGGCTAGCAAAGGGGGTAAACTATTCATGTACCTCTGTTACAAATAAAATAGAGTCAGTCAAAAGTTTGCTCAAGGTAAGCTCAAAATGGAACCATGATGTCAAATCTTTGCATGGTCCTTCTTATGCTCTTCCATTATGCTCTCCTTCACTTGGCCCTTGTAACAATCGCCTGCTATAATTAGCATTCTCAGTCAACACAAACTCTTTTTTTTTTTTGAGTTGGAGTCTCACTCTGTCACCCAGACTGGAGTGCAGTGGCCGCTCCCGGCCACCACAGCCTCGACCTACTGGGCTC